ATGACTTGCACACAACAACAAATGGGAACTTATTGTAACATTTTCTTGGCAAAAAAGGTTTTTCAGAGGGAGTATGCCATTGCTATCCAGAGGCTGAGAGAGTGACACACTGTGAGTATGCTTGGACTGTCTCTCTCTCTTTCCCTGCACCTCCTGGAAAGAGCTGCAGATTTGTGTGCAATTTGTAATTTACTGTGTGCAATAAATGCAATTTGTTTCATAAAGGTCAAGTAGACAGAACATATTGTAACAAACAAAAATAACTTTCTGGCCTTGCATCACACACTTTAATAAAAATATTAAGACAAAAGAGTACGGCATTCAATTCAGCAATATTGCAGAACGTGTTCATGCCACAAGTCCATTTCAAAGAGGGTCATGACATATGCAGCTGTTAATAAAATGCTGTAATATATAAAAAGTCATATGTTAAATTCATAAAATATATAGTAGTTTAGATGATTTTTAAAGTGATTTGACTGTGGAATTTATCTCAACTGGGACAAACATCCAGAGAGTCTTCATATTTGAAAGTCTTCCTAGGCAATGGCTTTGGCTTCAGGTAGGAATGCCTTCCAATATATTTATTAGCTGCTGTTGTCTTTGCACTAACATTTGCATTGTCTGGGCTGCTGGGCCAGGCATTTTTAGGATGGACATACTCAAGCAAATGACAGTACTTGCCCATAGGGAAACCATTGAAGAATATTTCCCCGTGGAGAATACGTGCCCATAGGGAAACCCAGGGGAATATTTGCCCATAGAGAATCACAGGGAAATACTTGCCCATTGAATCTCATTGGAGAATACCTGTTGGTGTTAACTGCCCTCGAATTGATCTTGACCCATGGTAACCCTATGGATGAGACATCTTCAAGACCCCCTATCCTCCACTGCTCTGCATAACTCCTACAACCCTTTAATACCCGTGACCTCCTTAATAGAGTCCATCCATCTGGCATGTGGCCTTCCTCTCTTCCTACTTGCCTCCACCTTTCCCAGCATTATTGCCTTTTCTAATGAGTCCTTCCTTCTCATGATGTGCCTGAAGTCCAACAGCCTCCGTTTGGTCATCTTGGCCTCCAGGGAAGTTTCTGGCTTGATCTGCTCTTTTCTTTATGTTCAGCATTAAGCCTGCCTTTGCACTTTCTTCTTT